GCATGTGAAGAGGTCTTTTTTTTAATCCAGCTCCATCATGTTGTATCACTTTTATTGTATACTTGTCCATTCGAAGTGAAGAACAAGTCTCCCAAGAACTTCCAACTAAACATCACTACTAGTCTAACATTTTATTAAGCATAAAGTGGAAAGCAAGCTTCCAAGCATCAACCATCATGTCTCACAGTCATGTTTATATAGGCTTTTCTTTGGTTAGTCTTGTAGACTAACTAGGGGTCTAACTAGTTAGAAATCTTGATTTAATAGATAAGTAATATGTTGAAAATTGCATATTAAGCCTATGCTATAGTAAGGCTAGTTATGCTATAGTATCTGTGCAGCACTACTGAAAAATTGATATATTGTTTGGAGAAGGAAAGTGTTCTCAATGTAGAATGGTGGTCTATTGGTAGGTTCTTTTTGAATTAGGAATCACGGATCTCGATCTCCTACAAATTGTTATAGGGGCTTGTATCTTCTAATTGGTTGATTCTTATTTGATGTGCTTCTTATTTCCAATTCTACCCCTTATAACCTTTCAGCTTTTCCTTGTCAATAAAAAATTGATTAGATGTTGAAAGGGCTGCTGCATCATCACCTAAGCCCTCCAAATTGAACAACCCTACTGGAAATAGGGCTGAGAATATAGATTTGCCCGATACAGTACTGTGCTGGTTAGGCCATCCTCTTGGTAACCATTGCCTGAGCTTGATCAAGCTCACATTGGTTTTGTAACAATTCTGCTCTCCTGTGATTCACCTCATCTTAATGTAAAATGACAAATTTGCCAATTCAAAGCATGTCGCATATTAGGGACTTCACCTCTTGACACTTGAAACAAGTGTCTTCTTGTCATTTCAGCTTTCCTGTTGTCTCATAGTGTCAATTAAAATTCCATATTTCTTTATTGAACCACTTTATATAGGGAACAGCATTGGCTCCCTTGACATCTTTCCAAAAGAGATTGACTTGGTACTTCTTTGTATGGAATTATTCATGCTTCCAATTTTACAAATTTATCAGCCATCCTTTACGTGGATAGACTGCAAAACAGTTGATGGTTTCTGCTACTAACCAGTTTTCTTAATGAGGCAAATGGCAGCTAATAGTGCAACGTTTAGGTAGCCCTGTGTGAAGGCATTGAACTGCATAATAATTGGCAGATGTTCTTGTTCCAATGTAGCAATTTTTAAACTTGTGAATGTTGTGATTTTAGATTGCCATCAAAATCCTCTTGATCATCTTTTGCTATGATTCTGTTTAGGACCATAAGATTGCCCGACTTGCGACTGTGTTTAAGAGCTCATTTTTCATTGTGATGGAAGCAAAGTTCTGTGGGTCACCATTTTTAACTATATCTTGTTGTTTGCTAGTTTCACCAAACTTATGGTTGATGTTACTTTCTAGAGAGCTCGGGTGGTGTTAATATTGCAAGGTAATTGCAGTTCAGTCTTCTGTAGGTCTGTCATGATTGGTCTCTCTTAGTTTCAAATATCAGGAATTTCCTTGTAACAGAAGTAGCAAGGATGGCCATTTTTCAGCAACTTGGGCTTCACTTATTGCATAGTTAATGAGATTGGTTTTGGTAATAGGGATCAGTAATGAATGATAGATTGGAATTGACAGAACTGATTGGATTGGATTTGGAGGATTGAGATCCATATAACTAAAACTAATTGTATATAATAACTAGTGTTTTGAAAAGGCCCTTGCCTAGGAGCTCGTGCAAGGCAAGGCAAGGCCAGGCTAGAGAGTCTTGAAGAGGGTCGGGGCGAGTTGTTTTAAACAGGAGCAACTCGGTGCATGCTTGTGCCAATCGAAGCTTGGGTTCGATTTGGCTAGCTTGGGTTCAATCAATTTAGTTTAGTTGGTTCAGCCAAACCAACTAAAGTCCCACTTAACATATGCAATTCTTTTACTTTTACTTTTATGTTAAAAAGAACTTGAGAACATAAAAATATTATATGTTAATTTGTTTTTACATTTACTTCTAAAAGTATATGTAAAATAAAAAAATCTAATTAAGTAATGGGTAATAGTTAAAGTGACTATGATATTTTCGAGGGAAAAAGTATTGATCATATCTTACAAGTATATTGCTATACTAAATAATTATTTTATATTTGTTGTATAGAAAGTCCCATAGTCATCCATTTGCAGTTTTGATGATAGTATTAGCTCTACTATATGACCCTGTTGCTAAGATAAGTAATAAAAATTTGTTTGAAGAGAGCATACGTAGAATAGTGGATTAATTTTGGATTCCATGATATCTCTCTTCATCATGAAAGCATTATAATTACTTTAGTATGTTGAGAACTGATTCCTATTCTTCCCTGGTATCTCCTATATCTTTTTCTCTGTCTAATATGGTGAATGACAACCATTCTTCAATAATGAGAGGCAACAATGCAATGATTGCAAACAAATGGTGAATGTAATATTGTTGCTTATCCTACTTAAGTTTGTAGTAATGGTTATGGATTTATTTTGTTTTTTTTTCATCGAGATCTGTCCAAAACATAGTTGAACCAATCCATATCCTGGCTGGCCACATATTGGCCATCTCTTGAGTCTGGTTCAAGCTTGAACCACTTCATAATGAATGTCTAAGTCCCATTAGAGCAACATTGCAACTATACCAAGGTTTTTTAACAAAAAAGCAAAGGCAGCTGCAGAATTATATAGATGGGAATTAAACACTTATTATTGCTTTGTTCTCCATTATCTGATAAAGCATGAATTTCAACTATCTGGGGAAGTTTCTGTTCTTGGTAACTAAACCCTAGTGGCCAATAATTCATTTAGTGTGTTTGAACTAGAACACAAATGTTGTGGGTTTAATTTGGACTGGCATTGATGCACCAAGTTCTAAATTCCAGTGATTAAATCAATTAGATCAAGTGTGTCCCTATGGAAATTCCAATCAATCTGAAGGTTGTAGTATCTTAAGTTAAAGTTTCCATAGTTTTTCTTTGTATTTGTTTTCTTTTTTATCCCGTGTGTTGTTGAAAATTTGAATAAGTAATCGTGAAGAGGACTACCTTGTCAAAATAAGTGGAATCTTGGATCCTATAGGAACATTTTCTCATAATCTGGAATGAACATTTGGGTGGAATTTGAGGTGATTTTGCAATGGTAAATAGCAGAAGTTTTTCACTCTTAAATTGTATTAAGATTAGTGTCTTTTTGTCTTAATTTAGGAATGGAGGCTTTTTGAGAGCCAAATAACTGCAGTCAGTTTGTGCTATAGACCACTATTAATATAGCTCTTAATTACACAAATATAAATAGTAGTGCATGTGAATAGCACCAGAACTAAAGCATGTCATATCAGTTATGGTAAAGCTAGTTGTAAGACAGTATCCACATTCCTCAGCCCTTGACCTGAAATAAATCAAACCAAGGCTTCATCTTAATTTTAAATCTAACTTGAGGTCAGGTTAAGTTGGAACAAGATCAGGCTGTGGAGTTGTGAAATTGCAGCAACAGATTCTGTATTTGAGATGTAATAAGTTGTGAAGATGAAAAAAGACGGTCATAGAAAAGATATCTAATGTGGAAAAAGTTGATACACTTTGGTGATGACTGATGACATCTAGAGCAAAGAGTGTTATCTGGCTTGAGCAATCCTTGGAAATGGATTGTCATCTATCGAGTCCACTGCTTGATGGCTTGCATATTGAGTTATTTTGAAGCGTCACAATGATGTATTATTGAAGAGATTGAAAGGGGTGATTGAGGGTTTCAGCAGCCTGCTCAGGCGTCATTAAGGATGCCATAGCAGATGTCACCATGGCAAGGAAGCTAAAAAATGAAAGGCAACAATTTGACTGGGATGGGATATTTTTTAGTTTTGAGATAAAACTATATTGAAATTAGATTGCCAATATTTCAGCACCAATCTGGCCAGTACTAAGATCACATCGGCTTGATTGATCCCTGCTCAGACTAAGCTCAAGGAATCCCTTATTAGTGCTAGGACTTTGGGTTAGTTCTGAATTCCAAGTTCATTCATGTTTACTTGTATAAGTTGCAGCTATGGCTATAGGGTTGGAAGAGTTTTGATAAAAAATCTCCATAATGTTACAAACTTGATGTGCAACAAATGAATTGACTAATAACTTTGACATGTTTGATGAAAACACAACAGCCATTTATTTTTGCTTTATATTTATTATTTTGAAGTATCATTTAAACTTGAGATATATGTAGATTTTTCTGGTTAAATTCTTTTATCTACTTTTGAGTATCCTTTATTCACAAAGGTAGTGAACCAAATGGACTACCATGTTCAGTTATATGACAGGCGTGTAGCACTTTTATCGGTCTTCATTTATTTTTTATTCTGATTTCTGTTCATAATATTTTTTAAATAAATAGTTATTTCGTTTTTTATAGCTAACTTCGTGTTCATTTATGAAGTTTGTTCTTTGTGTGATCTGTCCCATGTCTTGTATTATAAAGAAAACTTTGTAAGCCAACTGTATGGCTAACCATTTTTTATGGATCAAAGAGTTGAATGATTAAGAAAGAAGACAGAAAAAATTGATATAGATTTGAATATTGGGGTGGATGTGTCAGATTGCTAGAAGAGATAAATTACTTTTTTTTTTCACGAATAATTAGGTTAGACCCAAAAGATGATAAATGAGAAAAAATGAGTTCATGTTGACATATTCAAAGAAGGATCTGGCAATGCTCTGGTTGGATTGAGTCAAGTTGATTAGAATTAGTGGAGGGGTGCAGAGATATCTAAGAATACTTTATTAAAACGAATTAAAGGAGATTTGATTACTCTTGATATAGTTAGTGATGTGCCTCTAAAGAGAGCGTAGTGGTGCAAAAAGATCGGGAAGCTGACACCAAATAGTTGGAGATGTTATGGCTTGTTATTTGTGGCATGTTGCTGGTGTGATTGATTGTAAGCAACTTAGGGTTAATATTTCAATAGGCCAAAATCCTTGTCCATATGTTTATAAACTTTTGCTGAATTTCAGGTCCAGAAGTTTCCATTCAGGAGCTTGCTGACTCAATTTTTGCTAGCAGGCTCTCTTGTAGAATCAAAAAAGTAGGTGCCACTCTTTTCTTTAATAGTTGTATCATTTTTGAACTTAATAGTATCTACTTTTCTTATGTTTTGAAATCATTTCTAATTTATTAAATCTTCTTGTAAATATTTATTAGAAGATCTATGTGTAACTTGTCTGTTATTTTGAATGATGGCATGTAATGATGCTTGAATTAAAAAGCTTAAGCCAATGAATTGGATAATACATTAGAAGGTGCTGGATAGATTGGCTGGTAAACATTTTATCAGGTCACCGCAAATTCCTGTATCAAAACTCATCTTCACCACTTACCCTTTGTGAAAAACAAGATAATGTATCAAATATTTATAAGGTTGCTTTCAACAGGCATCATTGTAGTTGAATAGTGCTGTGTGTTACATTAGCTCGACTCGGACTTTTCTTTCTGCTTTCATCTGTCGTCTGTCCATTTGTTACTATGATAACTAGAGAATACAGATGTCTCAATTAGGGAAGATAATATATTTGATTTTAAAGAAGTCAAACTATCGAATTTATAGAACTCCGTTCCATCTCAATATGATGACCTTAAACTCAATATGATGAATATGGTTCTTCTCTCATATCTGCAGGATCAAACAGTCGATGGAAGTAACATTAAAACTGAACTAGATTACACTGACCATGCATCAGAAGAATTAAAATGCTATCATTCTGTAACTGACGCATGGGAAGCTCATGCATCAAGTTCCAACAAAGAGTTTTATGACTATGAAGAGAAGGTGCGAGTGAAAAAGGCCAAAGGCACAGTTGTGGATGGTGAATCATCTTTCAACCATAGCGCTAAACAGCAGGCTAGATGGGAAACAGCATGGCAGAGCAAACCTAACATTTTTAGTAAATTTGAGATGTCTGATCCAGTATTTATCAAAAAAGAAGTGCCTGAACAAATGACATCAAATCTAAATGGGAATATTCATGGGATCCTCTCCAGAGCACCTTATTTTTTCTATGGAAATGTTGTGGATGTTTCCAGAGAAACATGGAGAAGATTATCTGAATTTCTGTATGGTGCTGAGCCAGAATTTGCCAGCTGTCAGTTCTTTTCTGCTTTCATGAGAAAGGAAGGTTACCTACACAACCTTCCAAGTGGAAGAAGATTTTACATTCTCCCCAAACCGCCTGTGACCCTCGGAGAAGCGCTTCCACATACCAAAAGGTGGTGGCCATCATGGGACACCCGGAAACAGTTAGGCTGCATCAATGCTGAGACCAAAGTTGTTCGGCAGGTGTGTGAGCAGCTTGGAAAGATGATGATGGATTCACAAGGAATGCTTTCGAAAGAACAGCAAGCAAACGTTCTTCACCAGTGCAAAACACTAAATCTGATGTGGGTGGGTCAATACAAATTGAGTCCCATTGAGCCAGACCAAGTGGAAGGCATCTTAGGATATCCAAGGCATCATACTCGCATTTGGGGTCTGGAACCAGATGAAAGACTTAGGGCACTCAAGTACTCTTTTCAAACGGACACCCTAGGCTATTATCTTTCGGTATTGAAGTCTATGTTTCCTGATGGGATGCGGGTGCTCTCTATCTATAGTGGAATCGGAGGTGCAGAAGTTGCCCTTCACAGACTTGGTATCCATCTTAAATGCGTCATTTCCGTTGAACCATCTAATATCAATAGAAGGATAATCAGGAGATGGTGGCAGTACACTGGACAATCCGGAGAGCTAATACTGGTCAGAGGAGTCGAGAAGCTGACAACTCAGATGCTTGAAAATCTTGTCCACAAGTTTGGTGGATTTGACCTCATCATTGGTGGGAACCCAGGTCCTTGTATTCCTGGAAGTTGTAACGCGAGCATCTTGATGGGGATGGGTCCAAACCCCTTCTTTGAGTTTGTTCGTGTGTTCCAAAGAGTGAGAAGCATAATGGGAAGAAGCAGCAGCTGATGACAAGTAATATCACTTGTGGTAGATTCTAAACCAAGTAGAGTTTTTAAAAGAGAAATGACTTTTGCACACTATGATGGTTAGCAGTATGAAGATGTAACTTTTGTGGCAGCAAAATCTTACTAGATTACGCTTGTGGTGTCACTGGATACCCCATCTACTAAATTGCATCTCGATTCTCTTGATTTAAGGGTATTGACAAAGAGAAAAGTTGTTACATAAAAGAGGGATATTAATTATTATATAGCGATATTTTAATGGCTAATCTATTATGTTTTATTTGGCTTAAGATGAACTGTAGCTTCCAAGTCGTAGAGAATGGTGGATATCGAGAATTCGAGGGGACATGTTGACCAACAAGTAAGTATAAGGTTGAAGCTATTAACTATTTACGAGGATATTCCTATGGATGGGGCTTGCGACGGGTAATTTTGCATGGCCAAAAAGAATATATATATATATATATATATATATATATACATGTATATATATACATATACATGTATATATATACATATACATGTATATATATACATATACATGTATATATATACATATACATGTATATATATACATATACATGTATATATATACATATACATGTATATATACATATACATGTATATATATATAATAGGTTCAGAATATATTCATCTAAGTTTTAGAAGATACATATTTCAGATATTCTGAATCAACCAATAGGTTTACCTTTTCTGATTTTAATGATTTAAAATGATAGACTATTTACCTAAATTCATACCTTTTAGAATTTAATTAATGAAACTCGTATTATAATTAGTGATTCATGCTGTATAATCGGTTCGAATAAATTATTGGAACTTGGTGATGGTTGCATCACTCAAAAGGCAAATCGATATATGCTTATGGAAACATATAAAGGTTTGTATTAGAATAGATCATCTCTTGCCAAACAAGCATCATCGAGTTAAACCTCTATTGTAGATCGTGCGTGATGCTTGCTGACCAAGCCATCGAGACAATGATGGAACGAGCAAACCCAAACAAAGAGAAAAGAAGAGGGTGCTTGTAGAGTTTATCCATAAAATCCCCTCTTGAGATTGATTATACCGAACATACCTACCTACCTACTTAAACTATGTAGGAAGGGTTATGGCCCTATCAAATTGGTAACGCACAATTGGCTTCGCAGAGTCGAAATGCCAATAACAAGTAGTCAAGTTTGTAGATGATGGATGAGTTTGACATTATTTATAGCATCCTACAAAGTAGGTTGCATATATGGCTATAATGCATGCAACTTGGTTTCACAAAAGGACGGGAGTTAATAACCCAAGAATTTTCCGAATTGGTTGTCGCAGGAAGTAATAACCGAAGCTGAAGCAAAATAACTCAACAAGTTATTTGTGCGTCTATTGCATCCCTTTGAAAATTTGTGATAACCATGTTGGTCATGGACAAAGAGAGCGGCTATTTTTTATCTTACGTTTTACAAGAGGAAACACTCCTTGTCATCATTGTAATACAAGAGCCATAGACGATTTGTAGAGAGAGATAATCCACCCAAACCTTGTGTTTGAGTAAATGCGTTAATTTGAGTATTGAATTCAGCAAGGATTATTTGTGATTGTTTCTATTTTGAGTAAAATTGATGATGATTTTGTTTGACAGGGGTAGGTAGGTTTGTTTGTATCAGCATTGAAATTTATTTTTTAAGATGCTAGAAAGAGCAAGTTTGGATTGGTCCACCTTCCACTAGTCTTTTTCAAGTTGTCTTATGAGAGAAGCTCCCCTTTGTTTTTTTTGAATGCCCCTTCTTAAAACCACAGCAGTTCTCTCCTACAAGTAGGTCCTCATCACCGACAATGGTGAATGATGCCCACTACAGTTGCTAAAAATCTTTCTCTGGTATGGAGGGGCAATCTATCTTTAGTGATGATCATTTGTTCAGGCCTTGGATTCACATGCAACATTGGGGACTTCATTAGTGATGAAGTCATGTGATGATGTTCATTCGAATCATGATAGCAATCAAAATCAATCTCTCGATGGCATGACTTGTGAGCTACATCTTTGAGGACTGCTCTTGTGTAGATGAAACAGCGGATCAGGGGTTGTAGATCATAAAATATTACAAGAATTGTTAGGATCGAGAGCACTAAGAGGGGAGGGGGGGGGATGAATTAGTGCAGCGAAAAACTTTCGACGATTTAAAATGACGTTTGTACGATAAAAACACTTTCGATGAAAATCCATTTCGAAAAGTTTTTCAACTTAAGATTAAGCAAAGTACAGTTGAAGAAAAGTAATGGAGGTAGTTTGCAATTAAGATAGAGAGCAGAATATAAATGCAAATCGAGATTTAGAGTGGTTCGGTCAATCTTAACCTACATCCACTTTTGGCTTCCTCCTCTGATGAGGTCACCGATGTCCACTAGAGGCATTCCTTCAATAGGCAAAGGCCAACTACTCTTTTACAACTTTACTCATTTTGATGGGCTTAGGAGATAACCTTTACAGATTTTCACTCCTCTCTTGAATGATCAAAACTTAGATGAAAAGAAGGAGAAGAACTTTTGGCCTTTTACAACACTTTTAAGCTCTCAAATTCTCAGAATAAGATCAAGATTTCGGTGCCCTTTCATGCAGGAAAGGGTGGGGTTTATATAGGCCCCAACTGGTTCCAATTTGGAGCTAAAAAATGTCATCTCTTGGATTTCCGAGGTCCTAACGGTACTATTGCCATAATTGGGCGGTACTACCGCCTGGCATTGCTCGGAGACCGAGCTCAGGCGGTACCACCGCCTGATAGGGGTGGTACCACCGCCTGATAGGGGTGGTACCACCGCTTGGCATTCCTAGGAGACAGAGCTCCTAGGCGGTGCCACCGTCGGCTAGGAATTCTGGGTCCGAATGGGCTGATCCATTCGGCCCAATTTGGGTTTGTCAAGGGCCCAATTACCCTTAGATTAAGTTAATGAGATCACATTCGATTCCTAACTTAATCTACATGCTAACTATGATATTTAAGACATTATTACTGTAACTTACTTCGGTGCGTCAATCGCTTCTTCCAACGAGCTTCCCGTGAACTTCCGGCGAACATCCGACGAATCCTTGATGATGCTCCGGAGGACTTCCGGCAAACTCCTTGACTTGCGAAAATCCACTTGGCGAGTTTCAATGAGCTTCTTTGGTAAGCTCTTGGACTTCTCGGATTTGTTCCTACAGAACCTCCGACGACCGTCCAGACTTCCGTCGAACTCTCGAACTCCTAACGTGATCTTTGTCTTGACTCCGGCTCAACACCTACTACATGTCTTACTACCATCGTAGTTAATCCTGCACATGTAAAACAAACTTCGATCTAGACAATTAATACTAAGCATTAATCAAATTGTCTGGCATGTTATTGGTCCCTCGATGCTTCGTCCGATTCTTCGGCACATCGTCCTCTCTTGCAGCCTATTGCCCAATCGGCCAGTTGACTCTGCAACTCCGATATCCTTGGCGCAATACCCGTTCTTCTTGGCCCGATGCCCGAATCCACGGCCCGAAGCCTTCTGTCGATATGTCGATCGATCCACCGGCCCGACGTCCAATCTTCTAACATGTTCCTCCGGCCCAACATAATTTTTCTTGCTTTAATTGTCTCATCCTGATCGAAGCATCTTGTGTCACTCAAAACGTAGATTAAAATATAAACATAATTATCAATTGGTTTCATTATCAAAATACGAGATTCAACAATCTCCTCTTTTTTGATGATGACAACCAATTAATGACGGAGTTAAACTTAACTTCCGGAGTTTAAACAAACTCCCCCTATCAATATGCTTATTGATAGAAACTCTTGGATTAAAAAATCCAAGCAACATGTCATGATCAAATCATGCATGTCATCAACATACTTCTCCTCCTTTGTCATCAACAAAAAGGAGAAGTACCACAATCAAGTGTTTGTAATATAAGTTCTAATCATTTGCATGATAAACATAATCTCCATTTTTATCATCATGCAATTTTACTATCATCATAGATATGTAAGGTAGTAAGATAGCATGTTCTACTTTAAACAAGCTAGCAAATTAGAGATGTGCAAATTTAACATGTTTTGCTTCTTGAGATAGGCAAGATAGCACTTTTGCTTCTTTTGAGTTATCAATTCGTTTCTTCTCTTTAGATCATAAGTTAGCAATTCTAGCAAATTTTACATCATGCAAGGTAGCAAATTTTTGGTGATATTGAAGATAGCTATTTTTGCCTCTTCTTGAAATTTCAAGCTAGTAATTCTTGGTGATGTTCAAGATAGCAATTTCTTTCTTCTCTTTTAAGAAGTGTAATTTTTGCTTTCTTCTTGAATTGTGTGAGCTAGCAAATTAGCTTTCTAGCATGTTTTGCTCCCCTTTTGTCATTGTCAAAAAGAAAGGAAGACCCTTTACATTAATTTCTAAATTATGACAAAGGTAAATAGCATAAATGAAAATTTAAGTTATGAATGTCAAAACAATTATTTTATCATTAATATTTCATCATTGCATGCATCATTATCATAAGTTAAAGTATTGCATGTATAATTTCAAATCATCATGTATATAAAATCATCATTATATGCATGATTCCAATTCATCATTTATTTCACATCATGATGGTACCAATTTTGACAAATTACATCCTACCATGCATGATCGAAACTTCTTATTTGTATACATCAAAACAAATTAATGAATATTTCATGTATTCATATCATCACATAAGGAATATCAAGAAGAATTATTGGGTGATGAGATAAATATTTCATGAACACAAGGAATTGCATAAAAATCATATCATGAAAAGATAAAATCATATGAATACCAAAAGACATGATTCATTTTGACACATCTCCTCTTTAAAAAAAATGAAAGGAATTCTTAGGAGATCATGATATAGATAAAATTCATTCAATCTTATAGGAGAACAAGATATTAATTCAAGCATATAAAATTTCTCAATTCATTATGAATCATAAAAAAGTTATGGTTCCGAAAAATCATGATTCATTTAGGAAAATTTTCTCTTTAGTACACGATAAGAAGAAATATAGCAATGATACCAAACATGATTCATTTGGATGGTAGATGGCAAAATGAAACATTGAGGATAAAAGATCTCGATTTTTATAGAGTAAATCTCAAGTTATAAATCTCAAAAAATCAAGATAAAGCTCATTCAAATTCAAATCATCAAATCAAAATCATTTTCAAGAGATTCATAAAAAGAT